ATATGCCCCCCATAATCTGAGATGGATTTTTTTCAAGATTTGATAAACCCATATAATCAGAAGAATTGCGCGCTTCCATTTCGGGACCATATGCACGAGCGCCAAATTGCTGAACAAAGTTCGTACGTGGCACAACATATATCTAACATAGGATCTATACATGTGTGAGTATGATAAGCATCGTATGTTCTGCTTATAATTTAAAATATTGCAGATTGGATCCCAAGAATTGTATCGCTGATGTCGAATGTGGCACAGTATTGCGACAAAGCATTTTTTGGAGACCTCCGTTGATGTTTAGTGTGGCAATCGCGGAAGCATTCTGTTGAAGGTTCCGTGATATCGTACCCTTTGGCTGTCACGCTATAGGTCGTCGAAGCTCTGAGAGCGTAGCCCGATGCCGTATTCACTATTTGGTGGGTCGAAGCTGGCAGCATCACAACAGATTTGGTGCTGCTAAATTTTCACACCTATGTTTGATCCTAACAGAGTTCCATAGCCACCTATGTCTGTGCGCGTTGGTGATATAGGTATCCCGATCCTGGGTCAATGATGCAGATCGTTCTTAAGATACCCCTTCTAGACAAGTAGCTTACGTTTTTGGCTTGTGATGGTGCCAACTCGCTCATCGGATACGCAGCTTCAACGGAGTGGCTGAAAAGCCGAGACATTTCACATGGTTGGCAATGGAAAACCGCAACTCTTCAAGTAGAAATATATGGCAATATGGAATGATCATCTATGAGCCATGATATGCCAGAAAACCAGGTCAGTCATTACTGGAGCCTATTCGTTGCATAGATGTCGTTCACCCAATGTTAGGTTGATGCACAAAAGTTGATGCTCCTTATAGAAAAATAATGGCAGATGCTTGAACAAATCGACCTAGAACTCGTGTTTCCTGAGTGACATCAACTTTTTACATTCTAACTGATGGTTCCTTACTGTACTGGTATGGGGATATTCCTGATTCCTGGTTCTGGAGCATTTGTTGCACCTGTGTTTTCGTGCTCACAAATTTCCCGAGCTATCCTAGGTTTGTGACGAAAGACACAGAATCTGACTGGGTAAATGATGAAATACTCTCTGACAATCTAAGAGTTTGCATTTGAAAATGGCCATCTATAGTTGATTTACCTATTAGACATAGTGATTTTCCAGAGCTGTGTTGATTCACATTTTCATTGCCGGGGGTGTAGGGCGTGTAAAGTTGGAGTTTGTCGGGTACTTGACACTGTAAATGCCTAACATCGTTTCAGATAGTGAACAAGACAGGATAAGGGATTTCCTCATTTTTGGCCACTATGTGATGGACTTTAGTATGCCACAGCGCTACTGATGGCAGATGGGTTTTGCTCAGCAAAACAGCAAGCAGCGAGTCGCAGCCGATCGAACAGTTGAGCAGGGTTTCATGTCGAACTGCGGCGGTTGAGAGCAAGCAAATCTGTAAATGCAAGCTGAAGCTTGTGAGTTTAGGCGCTGCTTGTAATTTTCTAATGTTAGCACCATAGCAGAAAATGACTACAAACAATATTTGCAGTCTTGGCTCCCCTACCTTAGATTTGATAAACTTCGCAAGGGGGGAAGCCGCGCGTGTGGTCTGGGGGCGCGGTATGCTTCTGAGATTTTCTGAATTGTACTTCTGCGCTGTAGCAAAAGTGTGCATATATAATACAGACACACACACATATATATATATACATCGTCTCGACAAGCATGAGCTTAGGCCCATTCAACTTTCAGAACCGTTTGAAAGGCCAACTACAGCAACACAGGTTTGTGGCTCAATTGCCCCTTTTGCACGTGCGCGCTTGTCATTCAAAATGCTGCGTATGCTAGTGCCTGTGATGCAGGTTCGGTTTTTGAATGAACCGGTTGACAGCGAAACCCACCGGACCACACTAAGTGCAGGCCTTATGCTAAAGGATAGTATTGCACGCAAAAGGTGTTGCAGATAAAGCATTTTAATTTGAACGAGTTATTTACAGATTGTACAAATCAAGTTGACCAAACATTCTTGATTCCATAGTCGATGAACTTGTGATTGCACTAAGGAACGGTGAATGTGGAGGTTTTTGTGGTTGTACCAGAAACAACTACGTAGGTTTTGTTGGTTGCACCAGAAGCAACCAACTAGGTTTTGTTGGTTGCACCATAAGCAACCAACTAGGTTTTGTTGGTTGCACCATAAGCAACCAACTAGGTTTTGTTGGTTGCACCATAAGCAACCAACTAGGTTTTGTTGGTTGCACCATAAGCAACCAAATAGGTTTTGCCGGATGTACCATAAACATCCTTCCGAACTGCAACGTAGAAGTGCGAACAGCCAAAGTAAAAGTAAAGGAAAATACCAACAGCGTGAAAACCAAAAAGGTGAAAGTTGCAATCAACTTGGATGTTTGCCGTGTCGTAAGCGTAGGTACGCCTTAGCATGCGTTGGTAGTGCTACAATTCTATTCCGGTATCAAGAGTGGGCTATGCCTTATTTAACCTCTTTAAACGCAGATGTTCATTTCCAAAATGAAGCACTAGCAATCCTCATGTTGAAGACAGGAAGATATATCAAAGCGTTTTTACATCCATTTGACCTAAAACAATTTTTTGCAACAAGTCGGTTGGAAGCGCCAAGAAATCCGTATAATCATGAAGTATGCAACTGTCTTACGCAAGTGTCTCAGGGAGCGAGTGAGCGTTTGAGGAAAACAAAGGTTAATGCAGTAGGGTGTTGCGTGCAACAGATTTGGACCAAATGTCCGGAAGGTGATGCACAGAAAAGTTTGTCAAAAGATGCAGGTGTGTCGAAAGGAACAGAGAGTCTCAAAGATTGGTGCATCAACGGAAACACTAAAAACAACAAGATGCAAGTGTCTTCAAAAATAGCAACTGCAAACCGCAAGATTTGTCGTTGCCGTTGGGTTGGGAATAAACGTATGAAGAAACCTCAAAATAGACATTCAAAAAGTCAAAAAACCATACATCGTTGCAAGAAATACAGCAACCGGCAAAAACGGTGGCATTTGCAGTATTTGAGCAATAAGATGCAAGCGTCATGTCAAAAAACAAATGCAAAGCGCAAAATTTGTCGTTGCCATTGGGTTGGACGTAAACGCATGAAGAATCCAAAGCGTAGATTCTCCAAGGTGATACTTTTGGAATGGGTGGGGCATGCCCGCAAAACACGCGCCCGGAGAATCTGGACGAGTTTGCGCTCGATAGTCAATGGCAAGTTAGGTACTCAGAATCTAGCCCCAAATAGAAGGAAGACAAAGGACAATGTGGAGCACAAAACAGGCAAGAAGGATGCGGAAACTAGAAACTATTGGAGCAGAACAACCAGACCTAATATCCATATGAAACCTGTCCGATTGCGAGGAGGTGGAGCAGAAACATTACAGTTTCACGAACATGAAGCTTGGAAAGGCAGCAACCAAAAAAAGCAACCGCGACAACAAAGGGAACATGTCAAGAGGACTAGCTTTTGTGCAATCACCTGCAGGTGGCGAAGTAGCACAATCAAACAGGTAGGGCAATTACAACGTAGCTCAACATACACTACTCGAAACCTAGTTTTTAAGGTAAAGATGTGTAAGACACGATGCGAAGGTGCCAGCTGTGGTTCTTCATTACGGCAGCAGACTTTGTACCATCATCCACTTGTGTCTCCCCAGCTGCTGGGGTCGGCGGGTTTAAATTCTTCTTCTTTATTATCTCCCTTCGATCTGTATTCATTTGTTGATCATTCTTACTTGTCTTCGTTTCATCCTAGTTCAGTGTGTGTTGTTTCTTCGTCTGGTGCCGCGGGTACAAATGACAATCATAGTTGCGCGCTCGCGCCGGCACCGACGATGAAACTACACAACGACCATTGCGCACCTAGGCATGCATCCTGCTTGTTTAATGGTACAATGAGGAGGAGGAGCAACCCAAAGCGTCACATGCATAAGAACCTGCAACAGCATCATGCAAACCGACTTTTACTTTCAATAGTCTTTAAGCATCGAACAAATTTGCTCGGCGGACACCGACACTTGCAGAACGCCCGTTTTGGAAGCAAGATAAAGGAAGAGAGCAGTAAACAAACAATATTTCCTAAGGCTAATTTCCATGGAAGGAGTCAACATATTGTTGACCAGCCAACCCACGGCCGCAGCCTCAAAGGGAAAAAACAAAGTGGCAAAAACGACACACGCTGGCTAAAAGCAAGACAAAGAAAACCACACAACGGCAACACCAGCATTAAGGAAACGCGCGCCCAGTATTTGGAATGCATCAACCATACCAAGCACAAGAATGGTACACACTATCATGCCGATGATGCCAGTGCTCTTTGTGGTCAATTTATTGAGGGCGGACTGGCTCCAGTTTGGACTTCAAGTGATGCTTTGTATCGGCATCCACTTGCGCCTCCCCAGCTGCTGGGGTCGGCGGATCATTTGCATGGGAGGATTCAATTCCCGAAGCGTCGTTTGTCGCAAACTGTCAAAACACTTCCCATAGAAAAGATGGAGTCAAGAATGGCAGTAGCCAACAACACCATTGATGTGTCCCCTGATGCGTTGGGGTCGGTAGTTCAAACACACACGGGAAAGCCGTCGATTGAGCTCGAACATGCAAGACGCTCAAGACAGTATGCACTTGATATGCGCGGGGCGCTGCCTGTGCGATGTCAAGGAGGCGGCACAGAACAATTGCAGTGTTTCATGTGTTTAGCATATAAAAGCGCATATGTCCCAAAACAATTGAGTGATGAGTATGTGTCGCACTGCTACACCTGTGGTCGCGGAGCGTGCGACAACCACGGATCTTGAGAAGTCGGGCACTTCCACTGCGCACTTTGCCATGCGACTGACGATGGTTTATTGGCAGAGGTAAAGGACACTTTTGCAGTAAGATGTCTCAGCAAAACGTTTCAGAACCAAGGGTTGCTACATACGAATGAGGAAGCATTCAACGATTTAATGCTGACTTTGTGCACGGGAGGAATAAACCGTCCAAGAGGAATGGGAAACTATGACGAACAAGGCCTGAAGGTGCAGCCACAGGACGCAGCAGACGTAGAACTTCCTTGGGACGACGCACGGCAGCTGGTAGAAGCACTCGTACTGTCTCGAGTTGACACACCAGATAACGCAGTAAAGGTGCTTGGACAGAGTTGGGTTCCAACTTGGGACGGCTGGAAAGAATTGCGCCAATGTGCGACAGAGCGCTGTTGTGTTACAATTGCGGAGCGACTGTGCGACATCGCCCAGCAAAACACCCCTTACCAAAGCAAGACCGACACCCAAGCATTGCAGACTTTGGCGTCCGAAGGGTTCATGTGGCGGAAAGCACTGTCACACGGCGTGAATAACTGCTTGATCGATTCCCTGATATTGTGCTTGTCGTATGAACACATTTTGCCTCATAACTTGACTGCAGATGTCACAGCCAGGCGATGCGTTGCAGCTGCATGCAGAAAGCATTTGATTCAAGAGATTGGGGACGAAGTGGCTCCAGGCAGCAATGGGCTTTTCCCATTCTTGGATGCGCACCGGGATGGCCCCAGAATTGTAGGTTTTTTGTTCCATTGGTTTCGCGTTGTTGCGCGCACGAATGTGCTAATTCATGTGCATGACAGATTTGGTGAGCACGCTGCAGGTGCAGACGGGAATAAAATTGCAGTGAACCTTGGCCATGGGTACCCACGACAGCCTGTTTTGCAGCTACACATTTATAACCACACGTCTGTTCGGGGTAGAGGGTATCATTTTGATAGCTTGCTCCCGATCACTGGGCGTGACACCGAACCAAAGAAAAAGAGAAGCCGTACCGTAGCGGCCACCATTGCGACAGGATCACAACTCAATGCTCTGCAGCGAGAATCGCAGAGAAGCGGTGGCACACCTGAGAAGCTGAGTTGCAGCAAGGAGGGACTAGAACAGCAAGCAGATCAAAGAGCAGAAACCGTATTTGCAAAAATGGCGTGGTACTTTCATGGCACGGCTTTCCCGACATCCTGGCTTGATGCACTGCTAGCAAATTTGATTTTTCACGGATATATGTTACAGTGTCCAGATTTGCTCGCGCGTCAGGATGCACGCTTTCACCTATGTAGAACATGCCAGGCAAGTTTAGAACCGGAGCAACTAGAAGGCGACGAAGCCTGCGATTTACAGCATCATCTCGCGAAGGCAGTGTTTTTTTCACAAGTGGGAGCCGAGGTGAGGTGAGTGCTGAGGTACATGTGTACGATTCAACTACCACTGACCTCAGTGTACCGCTCGATGTTTACACCATCGGTCGACATGACAGCTTGCTGGTGCCAGTCTTCCGCCTCTATCGCTACAAAAACGGCCGTTACGCTGCCTTGTTGCCTGCTAACCCAGCAGAACGGCCTGTGTTCACAAGTGGCGACTCGCAGACAGCAGCCCAAGGTAGCAAACAAAATGACATGAGTGCAACGTGCACTGTAGCGCCGCCGACAAATTCGTTTGGAACAATTGGCTGCGCTGCCGGCATAGGCGCAGCGACCGCTTTGCGCGCACCGCAGATTGAGCAAGTGCGTGAAATCTTACAGCGGTTCTGTGACCAAAGAGGCGCAGATGTGCAAGTTGACGAGACAGACGCGCATCGAGTGAGTGATGCTTGGTGGAACTTGGATGCGCTGGGAATAATTTTGCACACCCTTCTGCAGGCAGGGTTAACTTTTGCAGATGCAGGCATGCATCACGCGCGTAGATTAGCAAATCAGTGGCGCGGTTTCTATACTACACAGACGCAAGGTGCTGGGAAACGATTGTCAGATGGTTCAATGGAGACAGCTCAGAAGGAAAATGTCGGTCATAAGACGGCTGCAACAGATGCAGCTGCTACGCGCTCTTTGCACAGCACATCAGCCGAGAGACAAGAACCAACTAGTACTAGTGAAGTGAATCTGAGCATTACGGCTCGAAAACGGCAGGCAACGCAGCAAGATGCAAGTGCAGGCCCAGCGCGCAAAACAGAGATGAATGTGCCTCCTCGCCGTGTGCGCCACAAAGCACCGCCGGTCGGATCAACAACAGCACCAACATCCAGAACTGGTTCGCTTCAGGGCGCTAGCACTGACGCAGAAGATATCTATCCTTTGCGGCTGTGGAAGCCGTCGCAAGGAAACAAAGACCCTCGGGCAGCGTATGATTTTGCAATGCAAGATGCAACAGCTCTTCTTTCAGACAAGCCTACATTGCCAGAACGCCTGCATGCCGCAACTGACCCTGAGATGGCATATGACTTGCCGGATTACCATTGCGCATTTCGAAGCTGCGGGTTCGAGTGTGCGACACAGGCGGCGCTCGCAGAACACGTTGCTCAGCATCATGCGATTGCGTTATACAGGACTTGGCATTGCGGTGGTCATCACAGGTTGGCCCTGCGCAAGCGACATTCCAGGCATATCAAGACGTACCTGCTAACGCAGCGCTGCCAACAGTCTGGTCCCCTTGCGACCTGTTCTATTGACCGACGCTGTTTGCGGAGATTCCGTTCTAACATGCTGGGTCACTATGTCGGTACTGCGATCTGCTTCGTGTGCGCGCGTAGGTTCCCATTCGTGGACGGTTTTCCGAACCAACAAATTTCATGGCTACGAGCATACGAGCCATGCACTGGATTGTTCTTCAACCACGTTCCTGAGATGCTCGAAGCTTTGTTGGGGATGAGCACGTATCACGCACGTTATGTGGCAACCTTGCCTGCTGATATGCAACCCGGTTTGCAATCCGAATTGGCGCAGTGGACCTGTACCATCGCTTGCGCCCCATATAATATGAGCGTGCTTGGCCCAGAAGATTAAAAATGCATACAGCGTTGTCCGTCGAATCGGCTGTGCACACATTGCGAAATAACTATGTGCACGTCTTGCCGCACCAGGATATATCGACAGAGAATGAAGCCGCTAGAGGCACTGAGCAACGACTTGTTCCTGGGGCATCCGCCGAGAGAACTATATGCACAAGAATGCACGATGTTGGAATTATTATGCGCAAGTCCTTGCATGACTGCACTAACTTGTTTCAGCATTGAATGGCGGTATCTCCAAGATCGCAGTCTAGCCCAAGATGCGCTCATGAATCGACATCGTCTGTGTGCAAAGGGCAATGCCACGACATTCCCGCTCCCCTGGGAAGACCTGTTAGCAGAATTTGAGCGTCTGGGAACCCCGGCCACCAAGGCTTCCGTGAATATGCTGCCGCACGTTCGTAAGGAACTAAGTGACAAGGTACGAAGACTGTACGCTGGAAGTTATATGAGTTTACAGATTTAGACGAGTTACAACATGTATATAAACCTTCTATAACATGTCTATAACCTGCTTGCAAGTATGTAAAGCGTCATAACATTTGATAAGTAATTTGTAAGTTTAGCTAGCCGGCTACGAGAAGTTGTAAATGTTTAGGTAAAATATAAATGGTGCATGAACTTATCGTAAGTATCTTAACTGCATGTTTTCTTTTTATAACTATGTTAACAGACTTAACATAAGTATGTAGGAAAAGTTATCATAAGTTATCTGAAAGTTAACAAAAGTTATAAAAAGTTATAAAAAGTTACAAAAAGTTAGTATAAAGGTACATAAAGTTAAAAATATGTTTACAAGAGGGCAATGAAAATGTTTATTTATTTTACATTTTTCGAGAGTTTCATTAAGTTTGTGACAAAGCTTGTCAACATTTATACAGGGTGAAACAATCTTTCTGTATGTGGAAACGATGTTGTTCGCAGGCAAATTTTTTGTGAAGACAGGTCCTGTAAAGGAATCGGTGTGAAAAAAATGAGGTCCTGGAACGGACATGGTTTGAAAAAATGGTTCCTGTAAAGGATTCTGTTTGAAGAAATTGTTCCTGTAAAGGATATGGTTTGCAAAGACTGTTCCTGTGAAGGATGTGGTCTGTAAAGACATTTCCTGTAAAGGATCGAATGTTTGAACTTGTAATATCTAATGCTTGTAAAGGACCTGGTCTTGGAAGATATTACTTGCAGAGAAGGTCTGGTTTTTTCACACCGATATGCAAACAGTGTGTGTTTGTGTTAGCTGCATTGCCTCTCAAAGTAAACGCACCAGCGCGTCCGTTCGATTAAATACGATGTCTACGGACAGCTACATGTTGGCCCTTGCTGCGGCAGCGTCGCCACTTTTGGAGCTAGCCAAATCTTTGCCGGAGAGCCTCGAGGCTCCCGGAGAGGAGACGGTGGATCAGCCGCCCGCAGAGGCTGGAGATGGCGAGCATGCGGCCCGCGAGAAGGAGCAGGCGACGGAAGAGAAGATGACGGAGACAGAGACCGAGAAGGTAGAAGAGGCCATCAAGAAGCCAGACCGAAAAAGGGTGACCGGTAAGTCTTCTGAAGCGTCTGCTCCGAGCAAGAAGCAGAAGTAGATGGCAATCAGCGCGGGCAGGAAAAGGAATGCGTGCCGGAGGTGTAGGGTCACTTCTGAAAAGACGGTTCCTGGAAAGGATCGGGTCTGAAAAGACAGTTCCTGAAAAGGATCAAGTCTGAAAAGACAGTTCCTGAATAGGATTTAGTCTGAAACGACAGTTCCTGAAAAGGATCCATTCTGAACAGATATTCCCTGAAAAGGATGAAGTCTGAAAAGACAGTTCCTGAAAAGGATCAAGCGCGAAGAGACATGTCGTGCACGGGAAGAAGTTCGACAAACCTATTCCTGAGAAAAAAATCTTTGTCGCATGATATCGTTCAGACACATTGAATGGGCAGCAGATATCCGCTTGCATTTTGGATCTAGTTTTTTTTCTGCAACAAGAGCTCACTAGCACCGAAGGACAAAGGTCTATAGAAAGAGCCATGAGCCAAATTGTTGCTTCGCTGGAAGCCTGTGGCCGCTACTTGGAGACCATGAAGACGTTTCCTAGCTTTATGCAAGCTAAGGAGAGCCAACTGTCTTCTTTGACGTGTCAATTTGGTCGGCATAGTTGGTCGCTTTCTGAAGGCTCTGAAGCATTGGAGCTCTTGCAGCGCCAGGCCATTTGGAATGAGACGGAACGAAGCTCTTTGGCATTAGCTATAGTTCAGCTATAGTTCAGCTATAGTTCAGCTATAGTTCAGCTATAGTTCAGCTATAGTTCAGCTATAGTTCAGCTATAGTTCTATAGTTCAGCTATAGTTCAGCTATAGTTCAGCTATAGTTCAGCTATAGTTCAGCTATAGTTCAGCTATAGTTCAGCTATAGTTCCACTATAGTTCAGCTATAGTTCAGCTATAGTTCAGCTATAGTTCAGCTATAGTTCAGCTATAGTTCAGCTATAGTTCAGCTATAGTTCAGCTATAGTTCAGCTATAGTTCAGCTATAGTTCCTATAGTTCCACTATAGTTCTATAGTTCAGCTATAGTTCAGCTATAGTTCCGCTATAGTTCCTATAGTTCTATAGTTCCTATAGTTCTATAGTTCTATAGTTCTATAGTTCCACTATAGTTCCGCGACAATTCCGCTATAGTTCCACCATAGTTCCGCTATAGTTCCGCTATAGTTCCACTATAGTTCCGCTATAGTTCCGCTATAGTTCCGCTATAGTTCCACTATAGTTCCGCTATAGTTCCGCTATAGTTCCATAGTTCCGCTATAGTTCCGCTATAGTTCCGCTATAGTTCAGCTATAGTTCATAAATAGCTATAGTTCAAAGAAAAATAGCTATAGTTCAGACAAAAATAGCTATAGTTCAGATAAAAATGGCTATAGTTCAGATAAAAAATGGCTATAGTTCAGATAAAAATGGCTATAGTTCAGATAAAAATAGTTACACTGGAGACAAAATTCGCTATAGTTCATACAAAACAAATATACACGAAGAAAAAAATCTGCAGCACCTTTGGCACAGCTTCAGATATAACAAAAAAAGCAATGCCGCCCAAGTCAGCCAATCCGTTGCTTGTGGCAGAGATCAAAAAACTCAAACATGTCTTGCTTCGGATGATGTGGAATGAGATGCAAGTATATCGACCCGCCCATTGGATACTATCAGGTAACATTTTACTCACCCTATGGTAAAAACGCACATGTTGCTTCACATTCGGTTTTGAAGAAGAGGAAATGATCCAAATTGAAGCTGCGTTTCATGCCCCGGCTAGAAAAAAAAAGTTTTTGCGTCGCTGGCATGGTTTGAATATAAATGATCCCGAAAGGGATGAGTTGAAAACAGCCAGATCCCGAAAGAGACAGTTTGAAACACACAGATCCCGAAAGGGATGAGTTGAAGAAACCAAATCCCGAAACGGAAAGTTTGACAAAAACAGATCCCGAAAGGGATGGGTTGAAGCAACCAAATCCCGAAAGGGACAGTTTGAAAAAAACAGATCCCGAAAGGGATGGGTTGAAGAAACTAAATCCCGAAAGGGAACGTTGGAACGGACTAGATCCCGAAAGGGAGAGGTTGAAACAACCAAGTCCCGAACGGGATCGTTTTAACAAAATGACGGATCCCGAACGGGAACAGTTGCAACTAAACTTGTTTCCAGATCCAAAAATACAGACAGAGATATCACAAAAAAAAACATATCGCCTCAGGTGTCATGATTCCTGAAACATACATAACTGAAACGCTTTCACATCACTTCGTCGATTCAAAAAAAGGATATCATATCTGAAAGTTCTTTCAGAAACAAGACAGTTATAAAATCCACGTGGTCGGAAACCAAGGCAAAGACTTTCAAAAGTATAAAAATATACAAAAAAGTTACAAAAAGTTATGAAAAGTTATAAAAAGTTAGCAGAAGTTATAAAAAGTTAGCAGAAGTTACGAAAAGTTAAGACAAAACTTACAAATAAGTTATTAAAGTTAACATAACTTCCTTTTATCTTTTTGATAAGTCATGCTAACTTCCAACATAAATCCTTTAACTTCTGTATATCTAGGCTAAGTCTGTAAAGTCTTATAACTTTAAGCGTACAGTCTTCGTAGCCGTCATCATAAAAATCGGTGACAAGACAGATAAAGAGGCAATACGTCAACAAATTATACATCAGGCCGTGGTTCGTCGCCGGGTCGTTGTAGGGCTGATTGCTGCCATGGTTGCGCGTAGCCATCCGGCATATCAGGGTCTAGATATGGCAGTCGTAGAAACGCGCGCTGAGATGCTCCCCGAGAATGATGTGCCGGCTGAAATCATTGCATTGCTTGACAACGATGGGAGCCTAAATCAGGTGTTGCGCCAAAAGGCTGCCACACCGGTGAATGATCAAATGACGGCCGAAGAGGCGAGACGAGAATTTGGTCACATGCTGAAACCCAATGCAGTTGTCCTGGAAAAGACAAGTGCTGGATGCCAAGACGTGAATGCTCAACATGTGTCTGCATTGGAAGAGATTGTGGCCCGCGCTGAGCCAGCATCTGCGCAGCCTCTGCCCGAAGTGACGTTGTATACTGGGACCAAACTTATGGACCAGTTCCAGCCGCTGTATTTTGCGTTGGCTTTCCCCTTCGTCTTCCCGTACGGCACTGGCTTACCCGACGTTCCCAAGTGGAGCCAGCGACAACGGCCACGAAGACACGCGGATGATCCATATGTGGAGCTGAACACGTGGGTGCGCGCCATGGCGCGGCGCATCGAAGCCCAAGTCAGTCGTGACTGGGTTTTTGGCTTTACATCCTGGAATTTGCTTTTCCGATCTGCGCTGAATCACGCCTATTCCCGCACATTCTTTGATGAGGACACCCAAGAATGGGTGCAGCCGACAGGGCGCCATGTCGAAGCGGCGGCCCAGCAATTGCTCCTTGCTTTAAAAGGATCCTACATAGATGTCAATGGGCAACCACGGCCCGTCAAGGGTGATGTTGCGAA